CTGGACATGTCCAAACCACTGTCCCTCCTCTGGACATGTCCAAACCATCTCATTTCTCTCTTTTTAAAAAACTAAATATTGTTATTGATTTTTTTGTTTTTGGGCATACAACAACAAAAAACAACAACAACAAAGAACAAGCCCCCATCCCCCACCCCGTGTCCTGAGAGCGCACGCTGTAGCTGCACTCACACAGAGACATGTAGGAGGAGATGTATGAAGGCAGCAGACCAGGAAGTGATTTAAAGATGAAAATGTACCAGTGGGAGAGTCTGTGTGAGGTTAATGGTGTCCAGTTAACCAGTGAATACTGGGTGCAGTGGTGGGTACGATAGTTACAGCCAGTTATGAATCTTAGTGCACCATGATAGACAGCATCCAACATCTGCAGCATCCAACATCTGCAGGGTTCTTGTAGGAGCGTTCATGTAAATAATGTCACCGTAATCAATGGAGGGAAGGAAAGTCACAGAAACCAGGTGTCTCTGCTCCACAGAGGCTGTGGCAGCTCGGTGGTCTGTGGTTGTGTCAGGAAGGACATCAGGCATGAAATTAATTGCCAAGTCTTTGTGCAACAATTCGCTGTGGCGAACCCTGAAGAAGGGAGCAGCCAAAAGAAAGCAGGTTTTTATTTTGTTGTTTTTCTTAGTTCATATTTTAGATCTTATCACTGTTTTTCTTTTTGTTGGGTGTAACTGGGACCCTGTGTACACAATTTCGTTACACCACATGTACCACATGTAGTACGAATGACAAATAAAGAAACTGACTTTATTAATGTGCTTGGACACAGAGCTCTGTGAACAGCCAGCCTCTTTAACAATGACCTCACGTGTCTTGTCCTCCTTGTGCAGGTGTCAGTGGTCGTCTTTTGGACAACTGTCAGTCAGCAGTCTTCTCCATGATTGTGTAGCTACAGAACTGGACTGAGACCATTTAAAGGCCTTTGCAGGTGTTTGGAGTTAATTATCTTATTAGAGTGTGGCACCAGGTGTCTTCAATACTGAACCTTTTCACAATGTTCTAATTTTCTGAGATACTGAATTTGGGGTTAGTTGTTGGTTATAATCATCAACATTAAAATAAATAAACATTTGAAATATATCAGTCTGTGTGTAATGAATGAATATAATATACAACTTTCACTCTTTGAATGGAATTACTGAAATAAATAAACTTTTTCCACGATATTCTAATTTTATGGCCAGCACCTGTAAATTTGACCTGACTTGCATTTGCAGTGCGCCGACAGAGGCGTAGAAGAAGAACTCCACTTCCGGTGTTGTGCAGCCGTGTTAGCATTAGCTGTAGCTCTGTCGCTAGCTTGTTTTTGTGTTTCTGAGCTGAGTATTCTCTCGGTTTGGCTCAGAATGGTTCTGGTTCGGCCTCTGAGGCAGCTCATCAGAGACAGACTGAGCGCTGCTGCTGAAGAAATCTTCTCAGAGTTTGAAAAAACTATGGACCGTCGGTTCCGACCGGTGGACCCGACCCAGAGAGACCGAACCAACCCCGACACGGCAGCCGCAGGTGGTTATAAACCTTGGTGTTTTTTAAACATTCATCTTTAAACTCGCAGAGTCATTAGACAGTTTAATTCTATTTGTTAGCAAAATATCTCTCGAACCACCGGAGGGGTTCTGATGAAAACCCAGAAACTGACCCCCTATAGCTGATTACTGTCAACTTCATTCAAGATGGCCGCCACAGCCAAACACAGATGGCTGTAGTTTAGGGTGGTAGTAGCTGAGAGTTGTCCTCAACACACGCCCTGAGGGCAGGGATGACTCTCAGCTACTGCCACAACATGCACAGCGAGACACGCACGCACACACACGCGCGCACGCACGCCAATTCAGTTCAGTTTATTTATAAAGCACCAAGTCACAACAGAACTCGTCTCAGGGACTGAACAGAAACATTCATCTACAAAAGGGCAGCACGGTGGTGCAAAGGGTAGAGCTGCTGCCTCTCAGCGAACAGGTCCCTGGTTCAAACCCCGGTCCAGGGGCCTTTCTGGGTGGAGTTTGCATGTTCTCTCCGTGCATGTGTGGGTTTTCTCCAGGTACTCCAGTTTCCTCCCACAGTCCAAAAACATGCATGTTAGGCTGATGGTAACTCTAAAATTGTCCCTAGGTGTGAGTGAGAGAGTGAATGGTTGTTTGTCTCGTTTGTCTCTATGTGTCCCTGTGATGGACTGGAGACCTGTCCAGGGTGTCCCCCGCCCCTCGCACAGTGATTGCTGGACATGGGCACCAGCGACCCCCGTGACCCAAAATGGAATAAGCGGGTAAAGATAATGGATGGATGGATGTATAAAATAATAATTGAACAGAAACATTCATCTATAAAATAATAATT